AAATTTCATAGTTTTCCGGATTCTCTATTCACTACGTTATTCATGCAAACTATAATCGGTATAGTTTGGGATTTTTCTAAACATAACAAGTATAGAAACTTTCACTACTAAATGTATGCACTAAGAATAGGAATAGTTTATAGTTTGCACCACTACTCTATCACATTTTTCATAACTGTAATTATCTCTACGAACGATATACATTCGGATTTTCACTATGGTAGAACGCTACTACACTACATGTAAACTAGATTGTACGATACTGTGAGGTGCTACTTCACTACTGTACCCTTAGGTGTACAAGGATAAATCCTATCATGGTATAACCAAAGTCTCCTGGAGGGAGAGCGTGATATTTGTGAATAGATCTATTCGGGGCTGACAATCCCACACCCGAACTGCTAGCTACAGTTGGGCAGGCATGCCCAGGGTGACAAATGTCATTTAACTCGACGCCTGAAGAACATTGGAATGGTCTCTAGTCATATCAAGTATGGTTATACGAATCACATTATGTATAAATCACCTTTAGTTTACTATCTGACACTCTTCAACAATTTTATTTATACTAAATAGAACTAAAACACACTATGTATACTGGCCAAAGCCAAGGTTTTCAAACAGAACCAATTATGTAATGGCTTCTCATACAAAATACTTATACTTCATGATTAGCTTTAGCTGGTCACATGAGGTAGTATTTTCGCATATCACTACAGTTTTCAGTAACGAAGATTCATGGTTTTATACGGAATCGATAATGCTAGATTTTCACTAAAGAAAATATCGAATTTTCTTGGAAACATACAGATATTCATGGTTTACTACAGAACTGATAACAATACATTTTCATTAAAGAAAATATTGGATTTTCTTAAAACTATACAAACATTTTCTGCTAGCTCATCAACAAGTTTCATTACAAACTACTGCTTATGAACTCACCAGCTTTATGCTGATATTTTTAAACTACTTGTATTCTCAGGAAATTAGTACACAGGTACCTACTGGGTTTTTGAGGAGTTGGAGCAATAAGAGTTTAATGTTTATATTATATATATATATATATATATATATATATATATATATATATATATATATATTCTGTGTGATCCAAACAAGTTTCAGACAATTTCCAAATTGATGTAAACATCTTTATTTAAGTATTCAATGTAATGATTGCATTTCTATGATTGCTATTATACATTGGTTTGATGCTATAAATGATGTCCTCCACCCCATAATGTTTCCGCAATTCTGGTTTTGGGGTGTGATAGATTGGTATCAGACCCCTTGTTTATAGTGAACTAGTATACCAAACCTTAAATGGTATAGAATTATAAACACTAAAGGGGCCTAAGTGCTCTACACTAAAAATATACTTTCAAACATATAAGTATTTTTATAAAAGTATACGAGCATGCATACCTAACAGAATTCTTGTCATTAATGGAACAACACACAAAGTATTTGGATTTTGGGACACTGTGATCAAACCTAGGCAGTTATATAATCATGTTTTGGGTGAATATAGCCTGATCAACTATATTCAGTCAAAACATGACCAACATGTGCTTGGGAGTGATGGTGGTGTTACAACAGGCCTAACACTTACCAAATGAATGTAAACAGGTTTCAGACAATTTCCAAACAAGTTTCAGACAATTTCCAAATGAATGTATATATATTATGTATTATCCAAACAAGTTTCAGACAATTTCCAAATGAATGTAAACATTTTTATTTAAGTATTCAATGTAATGGTTGCGTTGCTATGATTGCTATTATACATTGGTTGCGATGCTATACATGACGTCGTCCACCCTAGAACGTTTCCGCCATTCTGGTTTTGGGGTGTGACAACATTGCGCGTACATAATAGTACGCTAAGCGTACTAATTCCGCTATACTACGTTAGGCATACACTTGTATACGCTTTGCGTACTAATGTCTGGGGGAAAAGCCTAATATTTAGGGTTTGGGGCCTATATATGCAACATTATGAGCACCAAAACCTCTCTTACCTCAGCCTCCACAGATTATATTCATCCTCTCCAAACCATAGCCTCTCCTTTTTGTGTTTAAGCTTATTTGTTGTGTTCTTGAGTGTTTTAAGAGGAAGGTAGTGCATCAAAGTGTTGGTGAAGAAGATCAAGCATGTAGATCTGAAGTTAACTTGTGCTTAAGAAGCTCCAGAAGGTATAAAGTTCCAAACTTTATGCATATATGCTTAGATCTCACCATTTTACTTTATTAGAAGCATTCGTTGTCCCAAAAATCCATAAGGTGGTTCATGTTGTGTTTTGGACCAAAAGGCCTGTCCTTCTAGACTCCTTGAGGGACCTTGAGTGATAAAAATGAGGTCCCATTAGCTGTATGAGTCCCTTTCATGAAGAAATAAGTTCTTAATGGATTAAGACCAAGCATTAAGAAATTTTATGGACATCCAAGGTGATAAAGTTCATGACTTTATGGATCCTAGGCATGTTAGGTCTTTGGATCTAAAGTTTGGGCATACGTAGTTAAGCCATTAAGCACTTAATAAGGTTTTGGCAAACTATTGAGTACGCCCAGCGCAAATCCAGTATGTCCAATGTACTGGGTCATCCACCCCGATGGTGGTCAACATATGGTTGAGTACGCCCCGCGTACCAGAGGAGTACGCCCTGCGTACCAGAGGAGTACGCCCCACATACATCCTTTGTTGGGCCTTCGGCAAATGGACTTTGGATTTTTGGGCTTTTATAGGCCAAATGGGAATTGGGCCTTGCTGGACTTTGTAAATAAGATATCTTAGGCCAGTTAGAGATGGTGGGTCATGGGGTTAGGACCAATTAGGAGGTTGTGCCCAATTTAGTAAATTGGGCCAATTATGTACTTTATATATGGACTTTCAAGTCGAGGACTCGGTAATTGGGCCTTGGCCCAATAAAGGGAATGAACATAATGAATGGTGTGGACTTTTAGTCAAGAAGGTTATTTTGGGTAATAACTTAGTAATTATTATGTAACAGTTTGGGATTCCCAATAAGGCAGCAGTCAGAGATTTACAATGTACTACTTGCAATGTGAGTTATCCTCACCATATCAATAGGGTCTAAGGGACCAAGGCCGACCCTTTATGGATTGTATCCGGTTATGGCATGATATGTTTATTGATTACATCCTGGTAGTTAGGATGGTGATAAGATTATGTGTAGTGACCTTGTTAGGTTAGTGTCCTAGTTATAGGATGGTGCTATGTTTGTGACCGGTTAAGTCTGTATACCGGTTATTGGGATGTTGCTATGATTAGTGATCTGTTAGATCAGTTTGACTATTATATGATATGAGCTAGAGTATGAAAATTTACGTGCACATGTTTGCTTGACTAGGGGTTGGATTGAGGCGGTCCTGCTTTGTGCTGTAGGCCAACATACCCGTTGTGAGGCCCGGATAGGCTGTTGGCCCTACGAGGCGGTCCGGTCATGCCGAAGGCTCGGGAGCCGTCTAGATAGGTTATAGGCCTTGCGAGGTGGCCCAGTCAGGCTGAAGGTTCATTATGCATGATGTTCTGCATTTGTTGTTATGATATAATTATGGTTTTATGAGGTTGGTATTTTGGGGGAACTCACTAAGATTCCGGGCTTACAGTTTCATTTTGTTGTTTCAGGTACATAAGGGGATCGCGGCAAGGCAAAGGTTTGATCGTACAGCTCCTCATGTTATAAATATGTCTCTGGGAAAACTCTGATATTAGACTAATTTGGAAACAAATTTGTAATAACTATTGGTTTTAAATGTTTTCAAAAATTTTTAAATTGGCTTCAATTTTATGAGTGATAAAAAGAAAATGGGAAGGCATTAGTTGGATTCTGATCTTACTTGTTGGAGAAGATGTGGTAGGGAGGAAGAAATGGGCCAATAAGTAGTAGAGGCAATAAATGTGGTTCTAGACACTAACTGATGGTAAAGGGGAGATGGGGCGAAGTTTAAATGGCCCATAGTTTTGGTTTGAAACCATACCTATGTTTGAGACTAAACCTGAGTTTGAGACTAAACATGAACCAGAAAATGACATACCCAAAAATGATATGGAAAATGAAGGGGATGACATTGATATATATCAAATATGGATAGCATTATAAAATCTATTAAAGATTTAAGGGAATCAAAGTATAATAATGTTGATATAATGGGTACTCTTGGACATAATGAATCTCAAATCAATAAGTTTGGATCTATCAAACCAATCCCAAAGGTAAGTGTTTACTTCATTAGGTGTTTGCAATTTCAATTAAGTCATTTTGTCTAACTTAATTGTTTTTTATTTAGGAAACCAATGTTCAAGAAAACTGTATTGATGATACTTAGTCTCAACATGATGAAAGTGAAGATGAGGAAGAAGGTATTAAGGATAACTAATCTCAACATGATCAAAGTGAAGATAATAGGAGGGTATTAATGACACCTAATAAATAATGGGGGCGAGGAGGCCATCAGAGAAGATAACCAAACTAATACTGATGAAAAAGCCATTGTGTAACTAATCCCCACCCTACCCCCTTCTTCTTTTTCGGATAAGTTCACAAAATGCACTTCTTTTGGATTAGGGGACATGATTGTGATAGCCCTTTTTTGGTACGAAATAGTCATTGTGTAGCCTTTTGTTTATAACTGTTTGGTTAACTAATTTCCCCTTTTGTTTATTTTTTTGGAAAGTTAAACACTACGCCATATTATTTGTACAAACTATGTTGGTTTCTTATAGTCAATGTAATTTCTGTTTTGGTTAATTGATTTGCATGTCTGCTTTCAAATATTTGGTCATTTTTTGGTTTAAAATGTCAACACATAGATTGATGGTTGTAAACAACTTACAAAAACAACCATACATTTCATATATTTCATACCATTACATTATAAAATAAACATCCAACATTTCATACTATTACATTGAAAAAGATATAACTGTACTTGATCAACCTAACATTACATAACCAAAACCAAAACAATTACAATCAAACAACCAAACACCAAATCCAACTCCTAGCAACAGTTCCACCTTCATGTTCTATAGAAATCTCTTGTACTACTTCTGCCGCATCTTCTTCTTCCATAAATTCTTCGAAATCTTCATCAATGGCTTGATTTCCTTGGTTGTAAAAATCGAACATCAGGTCCTTGTACGACTTGTTTGGTAATGGAGGATTTATCCACTCAAAGAATTTGCAATCCTTCTCCTTATCTTGTATTGCACAAAATTATGCACATTGTAAATTCCAATAGGTTTAATTTCAAAAAATATTAAGTTACTCACCCTAAAATTATTGCAACCATTTAATCTCCTTCCTGATTTTTCTGGTTTCTACAATATGTACTTACCAACTGGGTCATTACAATTGTATCTTCTTCTTTGACTGTTCCTAGCTGACCAATTAGCACTACTGTTGGAGACGGAGAAAGAGGATGCCATCTTCCAGCTTTGTGATTTTGGTGATTAGCAATTCACGGTTTTGAAGGACGTACGTAGCAAATCCGTATATGGTTCTTAAATAAGATGAGTGGGATGCTTGTGTTGACTCAGCTTCCAGGTAAGCAAAATAAGCCACATCAGACAGTTGCAAGCCTTGTTATCGGGTGAAAAGGGTCTGGTCGTCGTTTTAACCTATATTCCTTGTTTTTTCGATAATATTTTTTTAGTTTAGGATTTTTCTTAAATTATAGTAAAATATTAAGACTTTATTGGATATTTCCCAGTACGGTAATTCCAATAATATACGGTCATTTATGTGAATATTTTTAGTAATATTCTTAAACATTGATAGATAATCTTGATTAATTATGATCCCGTCGAGCATCATCAAGAATTCCATATATTAACCTACTAGTCAACGCCAAGGTATATGATTTACTTATTAAATGAAAGATACTTAGTACTCCTAAACAATGAAGGATAATTTTAGTAATTATATTACATTCCAGCACGTACCATCAAGAATTAGGTGTGTTAATCTATAGTCAACCCCATATTATATGATTTTATCAGGTTTGATTACAATGTTTAAACCAAGAATCATGCTGGCATGCTACAGGGTGAATGAGGTTGTCAACAAAGAAACTGCTGAGCCTCTAATTAGGGTATTTAATAAACTAACTTAATTAAGAGTACGTTCAAGCTGGCATAGAAGAAACTAAATTGTGGATGCATGTAACTCTTCATTCATTGGTGTTACGCCTAAACAAGCCATATCTTAATAACTATATATTACATGATTGTTCTTCTAAAAGCAAAAACAACAGAAGTCATCAACAATGGTCACTCGAGTAGAGCAATAAAGAAATGCTTTGACAACAAATAAGTGCTAAATAATAATAACTAAATAGATGCATCTTTCTAAGCATGTATAAGATGATCCCACGTCTAGATACTTCAGAATATGAACTTAGGAAAGAAATGAAGATCTTCCAAGGCTTCTTTCCATTGGTTCTACTTACTTTAGTTTTTACATCAAGATCAGTTCAGGGGCAGGATGATCAAGATCAATCAGGTACTAAATCAAACATTCAGTAAATACTATCGAATCTATTGACAAACCTCTCTTCCTCCTCCAATTGCAGGCTTCATAAGCATAGACTGTGGGATTGTCAAAGGCTCAACATACACAGATAATCAAACAAACATCAACTATGTATCAGATGCTGACTTCATCGATAGTGGCGAGATCCATAACATATTGCCCATATACAACTCCTTCACCCTTGATACACAGCTTACCACCCTCAAAAGTTTTCCACAAAACACAAGAAACTGTTACACCCTAAAACCAACCCAAGGAAAGGGTAATAGGTATCTGATTCGAGCAAGGTTTATGTATGGGAATTATGACTTCAATGGCATGCTTCCAGAGTTCGATGTCTATCTTGGACCTGATTACTGGGATACAATGAAATTTAACTCGTCATCTAAACCAGTAAACATGGAGATCATACATGCCCCCTCATCAGATTACATACATGTTTGTCTTGTAAATACAGGTCGTGGAACTCCTTTCATATCAGCCATAGAATTAAGACCTTTGGCAAACAACATGTATGAAGAAACTAGTCTCGGATCAATGTACCTTTTTGCACGTGTAAATTTTGGAACTTCATTTGGAACAGTAAGGTCAGGCTTCTAATTGTTTTCTTACAACTAACTTTATACTTAGGTTTCATTGAATATTTAGGAAAACATAAGTACTTATAACTTCGGTTTTCTTGATTCTTGACATAGGTATAAAGATGACAAGTATGATCGACTATGGAGTCCAATTAGTTGGGCTAATAGTACGTACTTATACACATTTGACAGAGTGTCAGCGTTTCTTTTCACAACCATTGATCCACCATCTGATGTCATGACTACTGCCATCACACCAAGATACCCAATGGAGTCATTTAAGATAGGGTGGACTCCTGATAATGTCACAGATACGTTTCTCATATACACACACTTTGCTGAGATTGAAATACTGAAAAAGAACCAGAGAAGACAATTCAACATTTACCTAAATGGGAGCCTCTGGTATGGAAATTTCTCTCCAAAAAATCACACAACAACCACTATCTACAGCACTGAACCTGAGATAGTAGCACCCACGTATACACTCACTATAAACAAAACAAAAAACTCAACCCTTCCTCCCATCATCAATGCTCTTGAGGTTTACGTATTGAAGCAGCTCCCACAAAGGCAAACAGATGATCGAGATGGTAAGTGTACAATTTGTCTTTTGATTTAGAACAGAGTAGGCTTAAATTGTATAATTAACATCGATCCCTTATCTCCTTTCTTTTGTCTGTATAATGGAAATAATTAATTAGCTGCTGCGATGTGGAGCATTAAGTCGACTTACATAATTACAAGACACTGGCAAGGTGATCCATGTGCTCCACAGGAGTTTGTTTGGGAGGGCATCAGATGCAGCTACAATGACACAAAGTCTTATAGGATAACATTCTTGTATGAATACATTTCCAAGATCCCTTCGTTATATATTTATACTCTGCTTGGAAAATTTTATTCACAGTTTTATTTAATTTGAAATCAGGAACTTGTCTAGCAGCGGACTGAATGGAGGAATAGATCCAGGATTTGCTAATCTCACAATGATAGAGACCTTGTAAGTCAACACTACTAATTAGGAAGATATACAAAATCAAAACATATACAAAAGTTAACTCTTAAAACTGTATAATGCTAATATCTCCATTCCAATTTCAGGGATTTGTCAAACAATAACTTAACAGGAGCTGTGCCTAATTTTCTCTCTGGAATGAACTTCCTCAAGGTCCTGTAAGTTATCTTCCCCTTAAGCTATTATCATAAGTACTCTAGTTTCATGAGAAAAAACTAATATTATTATCATTCGTTATAGAAATTTAAAAGGAAACAATTTCATTGGGCCAGTTCCAGCACAGCTCCTAGAAAAGTCAAACAAAGGATTATTGTCATTGAGGTTTGCTACTGATCATTTCTGAAGATTGCGACTATCATTATGTTACTATTCACTGCTACAGAGTCTAACACTTATGCCCCGAAATTAGTTTTGATGGAGAGAGCACTGGTGATAGTTTAAGTTCTTGTGTCATGAATCGTTGTAAAAACACCAAGGATAACAAAATCGTTGTTCCAATAATAGCATCTGCCGCATCACTCTTGGTGATCTTGATTGCAGTATTCATGGCGATATGGATTATTAGAAAGCAAAAAACAAGCGGTATGAAATTCACTACTCTTTCATTAATAAACCTTGTAAGAAAAACTTTAGTTACAGCTCACACATGCATGAAAATTTGCATGCAGACAAAAGGAAGATAGGCACTGGGATGCAAATAAGAAAACAACAATACGCATACTCAGAGGTACAAAGCATCACCGATAACTTCAATCATGTTATTGGGAAAGGAGGATTTGGAACTGTTTACCATGGGAATATCAATGATACAGAAGTCGCTGTTAAGATGCTTTCAGAATCATCGCTCCAAGGGGACAAAGAATTCCAGGCTGAGGTAACTTGAAAACTAAAACATTTGAAAACATGCGTATAAGAAGAAGGAAGAACCATAAAAAGAATGTATTCGATTGAAATTGCATGGAAAACTGAAAAGACTCTTATGCGTACAGGCCAATCTTCTCCTGAGTGTTCATCATAAGAACTTAATTTCGCTTGTTGGGTACTGCAATGAAGGCAACGAGAAGGGAATCATTTACGAGTACATGGCTCATGGAAACTTAGAAAGGCATCTATTTGGTACTCAACTACTCAATACTCATCATATCGTTGACATATGTTTTTCTCTATGTTCAAAGTTAATGAATATATTATAAACAAGACTAATTAAGTACTAATATTTCAAATTACTTGAGCAGATACGAGTTCAAGTGTCTTGAATTGGGAAGAAAGACTACAAATAGGATGTGATGCAGCACATGGTTCGTAACAAAGTTATTTAAATTCTAGTTGGTTATATTTTTCGCTTTTATATATAATCACCAAGATATCTTATATGGGATTCTGTTCTTAGGGTTGGAGTACTTGCATCATGGGTGCAAACCACCAATAGTCCACAGAGATGTCAAGTGTAACAACATCTTACTGAATGAAACTTTTCAGGCTAAACTAGCAGACTTTGGGTTGTCCAAAGCTTTTCCAACCGAAGGTGGTACCCATATTTCAACAGCAGTTGCTGGGACTCCTGGATACCTCGATCCTGAGTGAGTTTTCCTAAACTTATATGTAAAACTTGTATTTACTGCAATGCGAAAGAATTGTTTTTTGAGGAACAAGATTTTATTTAGAAAGAAAAATTTTCATTTAGATATGAATAAACCTTTCGTCTACCATCACAATTTCAGTTACATAAGAAGAATGCGACAAACCATGCAATGTCTTCTCATTGTTAACAATGGATCTTTTGGTATAAATGCAAAATGAAATCTGGCTTTCAGGTATTACACGTCAAACAGGTTAACTGAGAAAAGCGACGTTTATAGCTTTGGGATTGTGCTTCTGGTTATAATTACGGGAGAGCCGGCGATAACAAAATATGAGAAGGACAACATCCACATATGTCGGTGGGTCAATCTAAAGCTCGCAGAAGGGGACATGAAAAACATTGTTGATCCGAGGTTAGTGGGTGATTTTGACATCAATTCAGCATGGAAGGCAGTGGAATTGGCAATGGCGTGTGTTTCCCACACGCCCAGCAGAAGACCAACGATGAATGAAGTGGTGATGGAGTTGAGTGACTGTTTGGTGATAGAGAGAGCTCGTCAGAAGACGAAACCAAACGAATTAACTGCACTCAATTCTCTTAATATGGAGAGTTCGTATGGTCCGAATCCAAGATAGTGAATGTATTCATTCAGAACACATTTTTATGTGATATTATTCTGATCGATGCTTATTTTGGTTGGGGGTTTTAAATGGTGTTGCCTTCTAGAATGAGAGATAAGATTGCACTAGCTTAGCTTGTTTTGACTTGAGTCGTTGTGCGTAATAAGTGTAGCAAAGTGATTACTTGCACCCTTGAAATATGTGTTCTTGTAGTTGGTTTATAAAACCAACATACTCTTTCTAGGATCTTTTTGGATTTTTCTAATAGAAATTCATATATAAGATCTTTACAGTATAATCTATGCATTTAACTGTATTTTGTAATCAGACACACACATCCTGATATTTTATACCAACCTTGAAATTGAATGATCTACTTCCCAATTTTCTAACTGTAGACCATCATTAGGGTTTTTCAAATTCCAGAAAAACAGGCCCACAGCTTTTTTCCTTAGGAAAAATTTGAATATGTAACTGTAATATGAATAATTTATCACTAGTAACATCAACTAATAAGTTGAGCTTGAAGAGAATCATCTGTGTTCCTTGTTATTGGAAAATTCAAATATTACCAAACAGTTGTTGGAAACATATGAAGAGGGCATCAATGAAACAATTAATGTCCCTGACAAATTGAACCAACAACCAAAAGATGCAGCGATTAATAGTCAATGGATTCATGCATAACATTCGGAATAAGATGAAGAAGGTGCTATTCGAGGCTCTGTGTATAAGCGACCATCCCAATTGCAAATGAAATAATAGGGTATTTGGCTAAGCTTATTAAAACTTAAACTAGACTAATTTCTCTGCGTTACTAATAAATAATTATTTATGTTTTGTTGATACATAAAATTTAATTTTTTTAAACAATATAATCAAAGAAACATATATTGTTATTCTATTAAACACTTAAAAATTTAAGTCTAAAAATTGGTTTATACTTTGTTTTTCTAAATATTTATTGTTTTTAGTCTTCGACAAAAATAGTTTTGGGGTTAATTGTAGTTTGCAACGAAAACCCGTTGTTTTTCAGTCTTGGGTTTGCGGTCTATATATATATATATATATATATATATATATATATATATATATATATATATATATATATATATATATATATATATATATATAGAGGATATAGATCCGGTAAGAAATTTTTTTTGGTAGGAAGGTAAGAAGTTTTTTTTTCTACATATTTTTTTGACGAACAAAATAAATGAATCACTAGATGATTCATTTGTAAGATGATTCACAAAAAAAAAATTCCCAAAAAAACATCTTTATGATTCATTTTTAAGTAAATTAAGAAAAAATTGATTTTTATGACAATTTTAGTGAATAACAACAAAATCATTGTATAAATGAATCATCGAGATGTTTTTTTGAGAATTTTTTCTCGTGAATCATCTTAAAAATGAATCATCTAATGATTCATTTTGTTTGTTCGCGAAAAAAATATATAGAAAAAAAACTTTTTACCCTCCTACCAAAAACTTCCTTCTTATTTGATCTTGACTCTATATATATATATATATATATATATATATATATATATATATATATATATATATATATATATATATATATAGTATAGGTTTTGAGAGGGCATTCATTAATAATCTAACTGTAGAGAGAGAAAATTAAAGAAAAGAAGTGTGTGTGTGTGAATCTTGTGTTGGAACATCAATCTTATCATCAATACATCATAGATTCATCTTGTTCTTATGTTCTTCTCCCTTTGATCTTGCATCATCCACTTGATTGTGATTCCGCACCATCAAGTGGATCTGATTGATACATTAAACAAAATTTTGGACTTACAGTTAGTATCAGAGCTTGGATCGTGTCAATCTCTTTGGCAAGATCTGGAGTGTTTTTGCACTTTTTCTTGAAGGATTTTATGTTTTTGGATTGTTTTTGACAAAATATTTGGGGTTTATTCTTCATGTTTTTTCATAAAAAACAACTTTTTGATCGAGTTTTGGAGCTAAAAAGTTGAAAAATCGTGTTTTTGGCAAAAACTGGGCATTTTCGGTTGTAAACCATTGGGCTGTAAACTCGTTTTCGGCTGCAAACCCTTGAGCTATAAACCCGTTTTCGGCTGTACACTCATTTTCGGCTGTAAACTCGTTTACAGCTAGGTTTCACGTTTTCGGTCAGACCTCGGTCCTCTCGACGGCAGCCGAAATCTCAGATTAGGGTTCCTTGGCTTTTTCAGCTTCCGAAGAGTTCTTGGCTCAACTCGTTTACCGTCCACGGATTATCGGCCCCACTTCGTATCCAGCCTTTGCATTCGCGGCCAACCGCAAATAAATCAAAAATTCGGGGGGTTGCAAGATTCGGACCAAAGTCTCTCCCACACACAACCCACACGGCACACCTTACCAATTAATCTAGCATGCAATATGTTTAATGCATTCCCGATTTTGTTCAAATAGCCTTGCTGTTTCGTTCCAATTTTTGGATTTTTTACAATTTTGGCCCAAAAATCAATTTTTCTGATTTTAAAGTTCAATTTTCAACCCAAAGTTTTGACTTTCTAAATTGAATTTTGATCTCACAAATTGACTTTAACTTTCAATTTTCATCTTTGACTTTTTCGTTTAACTTTCAAATTTTCAAATTTAGCGTTTCGGTTTGACTTTTAAGTTTGATTTTTCAAATTTGACTTTCAAGTTTGACTTTTTGAACTTGACTGTTAAGGTTAAATTTCTCGGTTTATAGTCAAAGGGCATTTTTTTATAAACAATGAGTTCCTCAAACATCCCGGTCAATGAAGTTTCATGTTCTTAATCTTGTGAAGCTACAATTAAATTTCTTCGTGAACAAAAGGATTTACTAAAAAAGGGAAAATGAGGACCTTAAATATGAAGGATATACACTTAGGAATACCCAAAAATCTTTAAAAACACAACTAGAGGCCAAAACTAAGGGTTTTAGAAAACTTCAAGAAGAATATAACAATAAATGTGAAAATTATGATTTTGTTAAGAGACAGCTTACTAGCATAACGACCGAACTTGATGCATTGAAAGCTAAATATAATGATGCTGAATTCACGTTTAAGAAATTCGATGTGTCAAGTGAGGTACTTGCATCTATGATCGCAAAAAAAATAAATTTAAAGATAATCAAAATAAGGGTCTAGGGTATAATAGTGTTCCACCTCCCTTTAATGAAAACTATAACCCACCCCTTGAGACCAATGAGGAAGAAATGCCTACACAATATAGCCCAACCCCTGTCCCAGCTTCAGTTAAGACTGAACCATCTGGTCCTACTGAGATTATTTAGGTTAACGTTTCTGATGTTTCTACTTTATGTGCAGGTAAAGTAGTAGAGGATGAGAACAAGGAGAACATAACTGATTCTAGTTCTGCAAATTCTGATGATTGTCAAACCAATGTCTCCTTGAACTCTAAATTTGTTGCTTTCAACTCAGTTGCTTCTAATCAACCTTATGTTGGTAAATACAGGCCACCAATTCAAGCTAAACAGAGTGCCTGTTACAAGTGTGCTTGTGGGAACAATCAGAGACAAGGTAAGGGAATGCCACCAGGGGTAGGAAGAAACAACTCCTACGTGAAGAAAAAAATATGTTTTCATTGTGGGACACCTGGACATATTGCTAGAAATTTTCCAAATCGCGCATATGTTCCCTACTACGCACAACGATGACAGAATACACAAAGAGGGAGACTTTTCAAAGAAAACCCTTCGAGGTCATAATCGCGAAATGGCGACTGGAATGCGAAAAAGGCTAAGAATTCATCTCCTAAGGACAAGAAAGGAAAGTCGGCCAAGAAGCCAAGCTCAAGAGATGCTCCAATGAAGCCAAGACCGGTTAGGTCAAAACCATCTCGATGACTGACTTCAAGTTCAAAAGCAAGTACTGAGCCAACCATCTGAACGAACAAGAAATGGGTTAAACCCAACTACAGATGGGTACTAAAGGTTCACTCTCCCAAATCTTTTAATGACTCTAATATTTCTTCATCTTCTATTCCTGATAAGCAAGATATGTCATGGGAGAGAGTACATTGCGTAGATGACAATGGTTGACCCAATTTCAAAATAGACTTTGTTCCTAAGACCAACTGATCCCGCTCTGTGCTGGAGCAGCTATGGAAGCATATCATCAGACTTCAGTTTGTTGGTAGTAGCTGTTCCAGGCACATGATAGGGGACATTTCTCAACCGTACAACATTCAAAACTTTGTTTGAGAGTATGTGTCCTCTGCGTGAAAGGAAGAAAGGAAAGGATCACACATAGGGTTTGTACTTAACGATGTGAAGAATTTTCGGTTCTATTTTGAGATTCAAATATGTGTGTTGTTCTCAGACCTTCTGGATGCAAATTCAATTGATGACTTACGGTTTGAGTTTCCTTCTCGATACTCCCGAGTTTTTCTTACAATGATTCATTTTAAAGATAATCTTTTATTTTTGTCATAGTTTTTTGTTAGTAGGTATTGTTTGGGAAGTGATATGAAGTCTAGTGCTAAAGGGCAATATGAAATTCGTGTAATGCACTGAAGCCAAATTGTCTAGACTCTGTGTTCAATGTGCTGGTAGGCACAAAGGATTCAAAAGAACTAGACATAGATTGAAAATGAAAGGACTTGATAGTATAGACTTAGATAGTTCTATTTGGATTGACAATACGATGCTCGGGTAGATTGAGCAATGAGATAAACATTGGAACTTGCAGGATACACTAAAAATCATATGTATCTAGAATTGTGGCTTAACATTTCCTCAATGTATGGACTCATGTCCTTAATTCTGGTACTGATAGGGCGACTGGGGGGTTCTGATAAAGTAGATCTGTATGAAATCATTTTCTTTCTTTCAATCTGTCAGCCATATGTTGCGTCCTTTGCGTGATTGGGACATATCCGACCTGGAATGCAACATATGCAACTCTATTTCTATGTATCTTCTTATCTATGCAATTCTTTCTATTTGTTAGCCATATGTGTGACAACCGGAAATTTTTTTCCTTGTAAAGTCAGTACAATCAACCTTAAGTTAGACTCGCTCCTGCTATCTTTTAACACTATTTGGAGTCTGTTTGAGTGTTCTAAGTGTAGTACAGTCAAAGAACGAGTGTTAGGAAGTACCTGGTAGAGTCACTGTACAACATTTAAGCCTTAAACACCACCGAAAGGAGTTCACGGCCATAACAGATGAGTTTACGGCCGTAAACTCAAG